GAGGAGAATTAACTTTTGGGGGGAGGAATGGATAGAAGGTTGCATTCTTAAGTTTGCCTTCCCTAAAGTTTTGTCTTGACTATTAAAAAAGAAGAGAAAATCAAGGATTTTGGAGAGTGGATCAACAATGAATGGTCATGGAAAATTAAGTTAAGAAGAGACATTTTTGACTGGGAACATGAGGAATGGGATGAATTCAACAAGCTCATTGGGTCTCAAGTTGTTGGAAAGGAGTTTTGTGATAAACTCGTATGGAAATGGAACTTTGATGGTGAGTGCTCTTCTAACTTTTACTATAGGTAAGTTCTAACCTCTAACACATCTCTTTTGAGACACTAGAAACTGATCTTGTATGGACTCGCTCCTTATAAAATTGAAGTCTTTTGTTGGCAATTAGTAAGAGGTGGGTCGGTCGTAAAACATACCCTTCTTAAAAGAGGTATTATTAATGCTAACATAGTTACTTGTTTACTATGTAGGCATGAGATTGAATGATCAATCACCATTTTTCACTTGCAATAAAACATGTTTGTTGTGGCAGCAATGGAATGCCATGTGGAACTTGCAATGGATGAATCATCATTGCCCTAAGGTATGCTTTATGTTATGGTTTGATTTTGCTTTGTCATTGAAAAATGAATTGGAATGGAAAATGGCATGGTATGTCATTATTTAGGCAATTTGGACTGCAAGGAATGATGTGGTTTTAATGGTAAAGAATGGGATGGATGCCAAATTTTTGAATTTATCAAAGTTAGAGTTGCATGGTGGATGTATACTAAGTGGCCTAATCTCAACCTCTCAATTAAAAGACTTAGTTAGATTTTCGAATGAGGGTATATATTAAATCGATTCAGAACAAAAAAGCCAAGAAAATTGAAGTTTGGAAGATGCCTCAAGATGGATACCTCAAATTCAACACAGATGGTTCTTCTTGAGGTTGCCTTGGCGAGTTTAGTACCGGAGGCATTATGAGAAATGAATGCAGTACTACACTTGCCTTTCTTTCTAAAGCCATAGGCATTTCGGACTCTACTAGAGCAGAGCTCCTTGCTGTGAGAAAGGCTGCTCGTAAGTTAGAATTCTTCTCGTTCACTTCTTCTTGAGTGTGACTCTAGTAATGTGGTCAAGTGGATTAAAATGTCAATGGATGTCCTTTGAGAGTGAGACCTCTTGTTATCCAAATTTCTAATTTACTTGGCAAGATCGGTCGGTGGGAGATCAAACATATCATGAGGTTAACAGCTCTGATGCTTTAACCAGAGAAGCAGTGGGTAGGGTCAATGAACTGCTATGGGTCATAAGTGAAAATCAGCCTGAAGCAGCACAAAACTTGTCAGGTGCTGTTAATGATGATTAATTAAAGTTAGTAGTTCTTCTTTTCCATGCTGGGTTGCTTGGTTGATTTTTCTGTTGAAATTATGCTCGTCTTTTGCATGCTGCCAGGGTTTATTTCTTCTGTTTTATTATTTTGGCTGTGCTAAGTTGATAGAGTTGGTGTGTGTTTTGGTTCACCTATGATTGGTATTCGTGGAGTATTGAGGTTGCATTTGACAAATATGTACGAGATTGCTCTAGAATTTGTAGAGATATCAACTTTGAGCACTCTTTTGCTATGAGGAATGATTGTACAGGGGTTAGTTTCGGTTGAGCTTGTGTTTGCTTGCAGGTTCTTACTCATGCTCTTTTGTTTACATGGGTGAGCAGCTCCTTTTGATTCAGCTTCTCCACCCCTTGAGTTTTAGCTTTTTTTTAAAAAAAAAAAAAATTCATTTCAACATAATCCACTGAGTCAGTGCTGCTGAGATTTAATTAAATCCAAATTCTAGTTCAAATTAATTTCTTTATGGACTAATGAGATGGGAAAGTGTTATACTAAATCATAGCCTTCAAATTAGTCGTAATAAAAAAAAAACTATTGCCAGCTATTTCTTCACTTTGGCAGAGTAGCTTTCGATAAAACTAGGCTCCATTTGTTTCGCACATTTCTTTTTTGTTTTATTCTGTGTTTGCCCTCTATTTTGCCAAGCTCGAGGAGACCCAACCTTTGCCAAGGCATCCTTTGCTGCGTTTGAAGCTCCAAACATGAAAACCTTTTTCGTTGAAACAAATGCAGCCAATGAGAATTGTTGGGTTCTTTCCAACTAAGACAAAAGCATTGAAATGTTTATTTGTCCTTTTTTCTTTTCAAAATTTGTTACTCAAATCAACATATAAATTGATTATTACGTTTGGGTTTTGATTAATTTGCTTTGGGTATCTATGAAGTTTGGATTTTTATTTAAATTTGTTATAAATGATGAAAGAATATTGATAATGACAAGAAAAAAAATTATAGTTCAATTAGCATGAAATAATTCATGATAATGAGAAATTGTAACTTGATTGTGATTTGAAATGTTTAATGGGTGTTTTTAAGTATCAACAATTCACTTTAAAATGACAATGATGATAATAAATTTTAAAAAAAAGTATGCTTCCTTAGATCATTCAAACATTCAAACATAAAAAAAATATTAAAAGCTTACTGATAGGTGATTTAATGATTGCCAACTATGACATTAGGCAAGGGGGGTTGCAAAGCCAGGCTATGCTGCATGCCTTAATTTCATGTAGTTTTTCATTTGCTCTTCTCTGAAGCATCTGCCTTCAGATCAGATCCACAATTGAACCACATGATTTTAATAGTCAAGGGTGTGCATAGCTTTATCCAAATATGAAAATACAATTCACCTATTCCATGCTGGACGGTCATGATGGCTTGGGACGAAGCTACTTTCAATTCTCAAACCTATTAAAAGATGATCAAGTTATTTTTCAAAAAAAAATAAAAAAGGATGACCAAGTCAAGAATGGGGTTAGTAAAAAGTGTCCTCCGCCCTGTTGACATCCCAATCATAACAACATGACTTCACGCGACGGCCAAAGCCCGCCGGAGACATATACTATAACTTTTTGTTAATAAACTATAAATTTTGGGTCAAAGATCATACAATATAAATGATCTTAATTAGGTCAGTCCAAATCATAAGATTCCTTGTTTAAACAAATTTGGTTGTTCCTCCTACTATAACTTTTTGTTAATAAACTATAAATTGTGGGTCAAGGATCATACAATATAAATGATCTTAATTAGGTCGGTCGAAATCAGAAGATTCCTCATTTAAACAAATTTGGTTCCTCCTCCTATTCAATAGGAAAAATTACTGAAAAGAAAAAGAACTTGTGATGTTCAATTCATTGAAGTGTAGGGCTTTCTTCTAAGATTAAGGACACCCAAGTCAACATTCCCAACCAAACTGGGGAGGTCATGCCCAAGTGGGGTAAAAGGTTACCAGGGGGTCCAGTCAATGAAAATGTCATGGACTCTTGTGTTTAACGTTGCCAATCGGCATCCATCAAGTCATCAGACGTTTTGAAAAGTTGAGTCGTCGATGTGAAATCAATGTGGTAAGCTTGACTAGTTGACATCCACTCGTGGAAAAGACAAAAAACGAAGAAACCTAATTGACACGTGTTTCTTATCAATGCTTAGAGCTGAAAACCACACCCCAGAGGAAGTGGGTCACGCTTTTCCGCGAAGGTAAGCCCCCAAAGGTTATTATGAGAAAGTAAAAGACAATTACGAGAGCTTTTTGTTTACATTACAATTGCAAGCATCTGACGGTACGTTAACTTATTTCCACTTGCACCTGTATAATGTTTTTGGTAAATACTTATTAAACCAAACGAAGAGAGAAATTTCATATCATTTGGGAAGTATGGAGAGAGAGAGAATAGCCTTTTACTCCAAACTCTAATTCAACTTATAAAGAACAATGACATCTAGCCTTTTTTTCTTTCCCTATAGATTCAAACAATAGCAAGGAGGCATATGCTTCTTAAGTACATGAGAGATTATCATTTTGTTAATTAGCATGTTTAACTATTATTGACATTTAAATCTTTTACCTTAATTATAACATTAATGTCTCTGATTTGATTTGTTACAGTTGTCATTTTTCACATTTTTAGCGTGAAATGTAACTTATAAAGATTTGCACATACGTTCAGGTCACAAGTGAAATTTAACTTGAATTCAAATTTATGAAAATAGAAATTGAAATAGGTGGCCTCATCATGATGGTGTGCCAACCCATGTACATGTGTATATGTTATAGACCTAGTCATATGTGTGTTTGTGTGGTTTCACAGTAAAAGCGGAAAAATTGAAACAGATCAAACTAAACAAATTAAAACTTGTTGAGCATTTTGCAAGAATTAATAATGTATGCTATCACAACCTATTGATCTTTAACTTTTATTTAATCTAATGTGGATATAATTATTTTCCCACAATTCCAACTCATAGACTGTTTTCCAAAAAAAAAAACATATATGTTGACAATATTATCATATTATTTGCCCAGATTCAAGGCTTTTTGATCAAATAGGTATGAACTTGGTTAATAAAAAAATATGAACTCTTTATGAATTTATACTTGACAAGAGTGCAAATAAGGTATGGTCTTCAATGGATATAAATCAAGAGATATTTAGATTAATAAGTTGATGAGTTGGAAATAAAGTAGTGTAGAAGAACCATCCTTATTATGCCTTCACAGATAAGAAATAGAGATATATACAATTTAAGTTTTTGTTTACCATAAAAAGCATGAGGGGGTTCAATGGAACCGTGAGTAATTAGCGGATTCATGAACCATCAAACACATACATATACACACACTCACGGCTTTCACAGTGGGTTTGACTTTGGAGTAGTTGTTTCAAGGAAACAAACACATCTGCCTTGGACCCAGTTGTCGACCATCTATTGTTAATCCAATTACCTACCATCTTTCCTTTCCTTGTTTTAAGACAATCTAATAGGAAGCGGCGTCGTAAAAGGAGAGTGCGGGGTTGAATGAATGAATATATCAAAAAGAGGTGGAGAAGGAATATACCGGTGGGCATTTGGCATATTTGGGGATTGTTTGTGAGACCTCGTTGCATATAAATACTCCTGCTTGCCCTTTCACTTCCTTGCATCAACCAAATTCCCATCTCCCAAATCCTCCTTCCTTCTTTTATTTTGTCTTTCTTATTTTAATCTCACTTTCTTTCACTTTCATCCCTTGGAGAAAAAAACACAATCACTTTAAAGAAACAGGTTAGTTTCAGAAACTCCCCTTTTACGGTCTTTAACATCCCCTCTTTCTCTCTCCAGGGTTCTGTGTTGTTTCTATTCTTTTGTCTCGTACGTATTCTTTCAGCGATATTGTTGTTTCTTTCAGTTTTTTTTTTTTTTCTCAAGGGTATGATAAAGTTCCTCATGCATGCAAATGGCGGATACTGTTTGTTAATGGCGACAATGAATATCTTTTTATTCATTTGGGTTTTCTTTTTATATCTATGGTAGTCTCTTTTTGTCTGATTCATCCTGGTTCAGATGCAAGTTGGTCCGGAAATTACTAACCTGATTGACGGATCAATGATCGCTTTGATCAGGGTTGTTTATTGATAATAGTATATCACATTTCATGTTGCTTTTAAAAATGTTACTCCGTTGACCGAACAAAAGCTTTTTTAGTATATTTTCTTGGTGCACTGTTAAGCTTCTATGATCCTGGCTGGAAACTGATGGATTGTTCTTTTATCTCTGTTTCCAAATAACATTTTAGTCACGGGATATATAATTGGTTCTATTTTGGTAATTGTAGATCTTGTTTCACAAGAATGAAAATAAATGGGTAGTGATGAGGGTTTTCCTATTTCTCTACAATTTTGGTCAAGAGTTTAAAATAGAAATTCGGTACCATCACTCCCTCCTTTTGCTCATCAGAATTGTTCTTAATTTAATGATCTGGATCCTGTTCATATGAGATGCTTTGACAGTCTGTTTAGACTAATACATATTCATCAAATTTTCATGGGCACTTATCACTATTTCCTTCCCTAACCAGAAATGTGTTGACTTTCCATGCATTTAAATATAGGAGGAATCATTTATTTCTAGAGGTTGGAATTGCCATTTAATCTTCTAATCAGTACCGGGTATGGTCTTCCCTGTTTATGTTGGCGGCTGAGGTGGTGACGTTGAATGTGATTTGTGCTTTTTTTGACTGTCCTTCTCTCTGCTTTTTTTTCTCCAATAATTGTGGCGCTTGCCTTGCTAGAAGCCTTTTTCTTAAAAGTACATTTTCACATTGGAATAGCCTAGGACACGGAGCATGTACAAGGTCCAGCTTCATCTGTTTCATTCATTTCCATCGGTATCATATAGCCCTACACTAGGCTGACTAACATTTGGAGTTGTAAAACATGGTTAGACAAGGAGGAGCAGTTGGAGGTGCCATTTTTCTTGACTTTATTAAAATATGTTCTCAGCTTACCAACTGTGGAAAAACAACAGGAATGATTCGATCATCTAACATAATCCAATAAATAGATGACATCTTGATATCTTTTTCTTAGTCACCGTGGTCCTAGTTAAATTAGTTAAGAATTCAGTCCGCACAAAAGAAGGCATTGCTCTCGTTTTGTATTATTGTTTTTGTCTATGTTTTGGTGACCCCAACTAGTTTGACTTGGAATTTTTAAGGTTAATATGGTACTTTGCTTATATCCACTTATTAGCGGGAGCACTGACAAAATAATAGGATGTAGAATTAATAAATTTCTTGGCTAAGAAAGTCAGAAAAGTAGCTTAGAAGTCAGAGAGAAAGCTTAGAAGTTAGATATGGGAACTGATCTTGATTCTTATTTATAGGTACTTTCTTTGTTTCGGTTGTAACCCGTTTTCTGTTCCATCTTTGCAGAGGAAGAGAGAGAGAGCAGATACAAAAGCCTGTGAGTGAGCTAGGTAGCTATGGCAGGGGAACAATTACAGGTGCTTAACGCCCTTGATGTAGCCAAAACACAATGGTACCATTTCACCGCAATCATCATCGCTGGGATGGGCTTCTTCACTGATGCATATGATCTCTTCTGCATATCACTTGTCACCAAATTACTTGGCCGCATATACTACCATGTTGATGGCGCAGAGAAGCCTGGAACTTTGCCTCCCAATGTATCAGCTGCTGTTAATGGAGTAGCGTTTTGCGGAACTCTAGCAGGACAGCTCTTCTTTGGTTGGCTTGGTGATAAGCTAGGCCGAAAGAAGGTCTATGGTATGACTCTCATGCTCATGGTCGTATGCTCTGTTGCATCAGGTCTCTCTTTTGGCCATACCCCTAAATCTGTCATGGCGACCCTTTGCTTCTTCCGGTTCTGGCTTGGCTTTGGCATTGGTGGTGATTATCCACTTTCTGCCACCATCATGTCTGAATATGCTAACAAGAAGACTCGTGGAGCCTTTATTGCTGCAGTGTTTGCAATGCAAGGTTTTGGAATTTTAGCAGGCGGTATTTTTGCTATTATTTTATCCTCTGCATTCAAGGCCAGGTTTGATGCTCCACCTTATGAGGTTGATGCACTTGGCTCCACTGTTCCGCAAGCAGACTACGTTTGGCGTATTATTTTGATGGTTGGAGCACTCCCAGCTGCTCTTACCTACTACTGGAGGATGAAGATGCCTGAAACTGCCCGTTACACTGCCCTTGTTGCTAAGAATGCAAAGCAGGCTGCATCTGATATGTCAAAGGTCCTGCAGATGGATATTGAGGCAGAGCCACAAAAGATAGAGCAACTAGATCGGGAGAGGTCCAAATTTGGTTTGTTCACTAAAGAATTTGCTAAACGTCATGGACTTCACTTGCTTGGAACAACCACTACTTGGTTCTTGCTTGACATTGCATTCTACAGCCAAAATTTGTTCCAAAAGGACATCTTTAGTGCAATTGGTTGGATTCCTGCTGCAAAGACCATGAATGCCATTGATGAAGTTTTCAAAATTGCAAGGGCACAAACACTTATTGCTCTATTGAGCACCGTTCCGGGCTACTGGTTCACAGTGGCTTTCATTGATAAGATGGGAAGATTTGCCATCCAACTAATGGGCTTCTTCTTCATGACAGTGTTTATGTTTGCACTGGCTATCCCTTACCACCACTGGACCCATAAGGACAACCGACTTGGGTTTGTTGTTATGTACTCCTTGACTTTCTTCTTTGCAAATTTTGGACCTAATGCCACCACATTTGTTGTACCAGCTGAGATTTTCCCAGCAAGGTTAAGGTCCACTTGCCATGGTATATCAGCAGCATCCGGAAAGCTTGGTGCTATTGTTGGTGCATTTGGGTTCTTGTATTTGGCACAGAATAAGGATAAGGCCAAGGCGGATGCAGGGTATCCTGCAGGTATTGGGGTGAAGAATTCACTCCTTGTATTAGGTGCAATCAATGCCTTGGGCTTCTTGTTCACGTTCTTGGTGCCAGAATCGAAAGGAAAATCTTTAGAAGAGATGTCGGGTGAGAACGAGGATAATGGAGCAGAGGTAGACGCATCATCTCATAACCACAGGACGGTTCCAGTTGCTTAAGTTGGATCCATAAACCAGTTACTGAGCAACAAGTTGAACTGTTGTAAAACCCTTTTCTTTCGACTATAGTCTGATGTCAGATTTACTTTTCACTGTTTTCCCTCAACGTGTGCCTTATTCTAGCAATCTCAGTTTTCTGTTCTGTACCTTTAAAGTTGAGGGGTATAAAGAACATTCCATGGTTGTCTCTTTTCATTAGTTATAAATCAACAAGCGCCCTGTGGCTCGTTGGCAGCCATCAAAATTGAACCAAGAAGTCAGGTTCCGTTTTTCCTTGGCTCATGCGTATTCATTTGCGTAAGAGTTATTGCCTCTGGCATTTATCAAAGTCATTTGATACACGTGGTGTGTGGTTATAGTGTTGGTGTCATTGAGGTCAAACAAAATCAGCCACATTTGAATGCCAGTGCCTGCAATTTCTTCAACCAGATTAGTATAATAAGGGTTAGGTGCTCAATAATATCACTGTCCCATTCCATTGCATTGACTTCTACCCTTATATGTTGTCGAGGAAAATTATTCAGCGGACCATGGATACTTGTTTAGCTTTCCCAGCTTCACACGACAAGACTTTAGAGAGTATACTGTGGAAGACATTATTGCCTCCTTCGATTCAAAGTATTCTTTGATAGCTCTATCTGTTGCTTGACTTTGGTTACATTGTTCAACACGCACACAGACGAGTGAAAGCAGCGGGTAGACTTTAACACTCTACTTGATTCTTTGTGCAGGTAGGTTTGGTTGCTTTTGTGTCAGAAAAAGGTTCTGCACATAGCTTTATGAAACCAGGAGGACTAAATTAAAAGCTGGCAAAGCGAAGAAGGTAATGCCAAAAATGAAACAGACCATTGATAATTTTCCAAGCGAACAAAGCTCAAGTTGAGCACTTTATGGGAACCCATTTTCTCAGTGTATCTTCGTATTAAGAATTCAATTTAAAATGACAACGATGATAATAATTTTCAAACAAATTATGTTTCATTAGGTCATTCAAACATAAAAAATATTAAAATATGATTCAATTATTGCCAACTTTAACATTAGCCAAGGGGAGTGCAATGCCAGGCTATGCTGCATGCCTCAATTTCATGTAGTTTTTCATTTGCTCTTCTCCGAAGCATCTGCCTTCAGATCAGATCCACAATTGAATCACATGATGTTAATTGTCAAGGGTGTGCATAGCTTTGTCCAAATATAAAAATACAATTCACCTATTCCATACTGGACGGTCCTGATGGCTTGGACGGAAGATACTTTCAATTCTCAGACCTATTAAAAAGATGACCAAGTCAAGAATGGAGAGAGTAAAAGTGTAGGCACTGTCCATTTAAGTCTAAATTGACTTTTGTGTTTTTTTTTTAAAATTTTATTTACTACCTCATTTAGGCCCAATTCATATCGGACTCTGTTGAGCTTCAGACGCCTAAAGACAATCCAAGCACAACTCAAAATTGAGCCTTTTTAGCTTTTGAAGCTACAAGCCCATTATGCCCAAATAAACACACACAAACCAAAAAGAGGGAAGCAAAAAAAAAAATGCAAAATGATCAGAAAAAATAAAAATTAGGAAAAAAAAGAGAGAAGAAAACATAGACAAACAATCGGTAAAAAAATATAAAAAAAAAAAAGAAAAAGAGGAAGAGAAAGGGGTTTAAAGGTTGCTGATGGTGGAAGGAGTGGCAAGGGAAAATGCAAAGTGAAATCAATAAAAAGTAATCACGAAAATGGCCATTAACAAATATTTTTTGTTTCGTTCATTATGTGTCACCAACATTATTATTTTTTTACACTGCATTCATTTTGAAAATATAATTTTACAAATAATTGAAAATATCTGATGATAGGATTCTCTCAGGAAATTGTATAGACAAGATTCTCGAAAATTTCTTTAGGTGAGAAGAAGTTATCGGATTCCACCAAAGTGTTGGGATAGTTCAGGAATAGTTTTTTACGAAACTCCTCACCTTAGATTAAGGATAAGAAAGTAAATCTTACATGGTGAGCATTTAAAATGTGTTTTTAGTCTAAAAATTTTGAAAACTTTCTTTGGAAAAGCCCAAATTTTCAAGTTACAAGTGTATATGTTTATAAGAGAGAGACATAGACCAAATGGGTGCATTTTCAAATGAAACTTTATATTTTGGAACATAAGTATTGATACATGAAGAACAAGTATACTTTTTTTTTTTTTGAAAGGTAAAGAACAAGTATACTCGCTGCCCAAAAGGCTTTTAAAAAGGATTTGAAGAACAAGCATGGATACCTGATGAACAAGTATCGATACTTGAAACCTAAAAACACAAGTATCGATACTTTACCTAAAAGTATTGATACTTGTACGTTTACAAAAAAATTAAAAAGGCAAAATAGTATTTTCTCACTTAAAATTTCCTTTTTAGGTTTCTTTTTCATTTCCCTCAACCTTGGCCACCTTTCACTCACTTTTCTCTCAACTTCCAACAACCCTCTTGCTCTCTCTCACTAAAACAACCCCATTTTTGAAGATTTCAAACTTGGTTTTGAGTTTTGAACGAACAAAGGTAACATTTTCTAACTTTTAAACTTTCAAAACTTAGATTTCTAGCATTGATTTTACTCTTTTCAAAAGATTCCATTTTCTTTAAAAAAACCTAAGATTTTCCATGGGTTTCTCTCACTAGTATCTCACGAAGGTAAGGAAGAAACAATAATGTAAATGCTTATACCATTAGTTAGTTGAAGAACAATAAACTTTAAAGTATTCAAGATACTCGAGTAAGTTTCAAATTAGCTTGGTTGAAACTACAAGATTATGGCTTAGGTAATGATAATTGTTATTGTTGAATACTTTAGGTGTTGTTAAAACCTCAAGGAATTTGCTAGAGTGAAAGTGTTGAGTGGTTTGTGTATTGGTAGAGGTCAAGTTTTAGAGGTGAATGGATATACCATTTTAAGTATTTTAATATATAAAGTAAGCATGAATTTATGAAGTTGTTTGGTCTTCACGATTTAAATGCCATGTTATAACAAGAAATCCATTTTATCTAAATTTATAAATATCTTTACTATGTATTAGTTTTCAACAAGGCAGGGACAAGTTCTTTTAAATGGTTTCCTTCAAAAATGAATTCATATTGATATGATTAAGTACGAGTGGATGTATGCTTAGATGAATACTAAGGTTGACATATACATTTCCACCCGAATGAAAATGAAGTGAATATGTTATGTCTACATATGTATGTAATGATTGATTATGCATTGATATATGATGTATATGTGAACCTTAAGGGGATCATTATGTGATGAATAAGTTGATGAAGGTCAAGAGGCCATACTCTTAAGTATATGCTATGTTGCTAGTTGAGGATATACTAGATGACATGAATGACACCTAAATCTCTACTTTTCATAATGTATGTGTTATTACCATTGAGTGGGGTATAAATACCACAAACTATATAGCCAAAGCATGGCCAATAATATCACTATGTTATCACCATTAAGTAGGGTGGAAAGACTACAACTCATATAGTTAAAGTACGGTAAATATACCATTATGTTATTGCTAATAAACGGAGCGAAATACCATCATCATGTAACCTAAGTAGGGTAGATGTACCACTATATTATTGCCATTGATTGGGGTGAAAATGCCATGAGCTCTATACTGATATTGTAAATAGAGTTACAACATTGTTGGGTAATGGTTTATTGAATGCTAAGGATATATGTTACCAATTTTATGTAAGCATGGGAATAATGAGCTTATGTGGTCATATAGACAAGAAATAAGTCTATTATTGAGCTATAACGATGAATAATGATAATATTACATGATAAAAGTGATATAGAGTAGACATCAATTAGACATTGCCCAAAATATGGGTTTTTATGAGTGAAGTATCGATACTTGGAAAAACAAATATTGATACTTAGCAAACAAAATGCCTTAGGAAGCATTTTGTGTAGAAAGTACCAATACTTTTCCAAAAAGAATCAATACCTGCAATCCAGATAGCATCATGGAATAAAAGTATTGATGTTTCATAGAGAAGTATCAATGCCTCAAGTATACTTTTCACTCTTTTTCATTAAGGGTTTCAATGGATTTCAACTTCCATTTAATTCTAAATGTTTATGTAACTTTAGATTCAACTAAAATCTCATGAAGAGGCTTTGAACAATCATTATTTTCAAGGATTTAAAGGACATATATGGAGTTCATTGTTGTCATGATTATGCTAATGAGTCTAGCAATAGAGTCAACCATTGATAACTTTTTAATTAGATTTTTTATCTGGAAAGCCTATTTAGTTGCTTTATTACATGCTACAAATTCTACTTGCATAATGAATGAGGTCACCAGTGTTTTTTTCATACTTTTCCATGATATTTCACCATTTACCAACATAAAAATGTATCCTGGTGTGAATTTCCTTATCATTTGAACAATTGGCAAAGTTTGAATTTATATAATCCACCAACTTAAGGTCTTTAACCTTTTGATAAATTAGCAAATAGTTTTGGGTTTTCTTCAAATATCTCATCACTTTTTTCGTAGCTTCCCAATGATCTTTATCAGGGTTAGACAAGTATCTCCCTAATAAACCCATTGTAAAGGCAATGTTTGGCCTTGTGCACACTTGGACGTACTTCAAGCTACCTAGTGCACAAGCATATGGTATTCCTTTCATTAAATCGCTCTCAATATAATTTTTTAAACATTGTGCTATGCCCAATTTATCATCTTTAACAAATGACACATCTCTATCTTTACAATCAAGCATAGAAAATCTATTTAAAATTCAATCAATGCATACACTCTGAAACAATTCCAATAAGTGACGAGATTTATCGTTATAGATTGCAAACCAAAGATCATAAGATGTTTCATCAAGATTTTTCTTGTTAAATTGCTTGGATAATATTTTCTTAGTTTGTTGTAGTATCACCAAGTCGCTACTTGCAAGTAAGATATTATCAACATACGAAAGAAAAAAGATAAGTTATTAATAAAGCTAAGAGAGGTGATGACTTTATCAAATTTAAGATACCATTGGCGAGAAGCTTATTTGAGCCCATAAATAGACTTTTTACGTCTACATACAAGATGATCATTGTCATCCTCCTTAAATCCCTTAAGCTGTAATATATAAATCTCTTTATCAAGATTCCCATTTAGAATGGCAACCTAACATCCATATGATCTAGCTCTAAACCACAATGAGTCATTAGCGCTATAACAATCCTAAAAGTATCTTT